CACAATCAAAATCCTTGTGCTTCACTCTTTGCATGAGACTCAGGATTATCTCAAAGCTCTGCCGACAAAGAAATGATTCAAATTGAATCCTTTTTACTGTACTATGTCTGTTTAATATTTTATTAATATCTTTATTAGGCAAAAACAAAGAGAACAATAGAGATCTTAATCGTATCAGCACAATCTAATGCTTTTCAGTTTTAGTACTTAACTCTAAAGGTCATACACTGTATAATCTCTCAAGTTTCTCGGAGATGTGTCAACAGATTGCTTTGAACTTCATCATCTTTATCCTTTCTTCTTCTTATTTTCTTTAAATAAGAGTTTACTTTGATTTCACACTTACTAACCCTGCACCTGAAGTTAAAATATGGTTGGCCATGATTAACAGACATTTCCAACCATTGTATCCCATCCAGCTCATCTCCTTACAAATAAACCTCCTTGAATAGAAAGAATTGCAATTAAATAGAGGTCTGTTCTGGTATCAAAGCTCCATTCACCATTTGTCTGGCATATTCAATAGTGTATCAGTTGTCAGTGTCTTGCCTCAGTCCAATCGCAGAGCTTGAAACTAACCACACACTTGTTGAAACGAACCAGTGTCTGGGGCAATTGGATGCCCAAAATCTAAGCCCAGACCCATAACATTTTGAAATCTTTACACAGGGCTGAAGAAAAATTGTGAATGTGGAGCCGTGCCTATCTCCCTGCTGCTGTTTCATTCATTCACGAATATTCTAATACATTCAACAGACTGCATGATGGTCATGCAACAAATGGACTGTGAAAATGAACCAAGAAAGTAAATATCTGAAGTTGACGAGATTTAATCATAGCAGCTTTCACAGGTTTTCATCTTACTAAAAAGGTGATCATATCTTATTGCATTCTGGTAAACCACATGTACTAGCAGCAATACAAATGGGCCTGGTGTGAAAGATAAATTATATCTATGAATTATCAAACGATTACAGAACAGAAGATAGTTTGGACAATACACATCTTCACACCACACAGATAAGTATACAAGAGGAAAATACACCAGTGCCTTTACAACTGAAATACTGTTACTTACTTTTCAAATAAAGAGACAAAAGAACCACAACTGTTTTTCAAAGCTGCCATGAATTCTGGGCTGTTTGATTTTCAATGAAGTGCGAAATATATCTTTTGTGATTAAATTGGGGTATGATCCATCACATTGACACTCTTCAAAAGGGTTTGTTGTGTAAGTGTGTGTCTGCATATTTTCTCCCCACCCCCCCCCCCCACATTGAATAGCTTAATCACTATTGCATATTTCTACACTTGTAGTATGTACAACCTGCTGAGGCAGAAACAAAAACCCATTTGGAATCTTTGTCACATACATGTAGATCAGAATGTTACGAGGATATATTCATTACACTACAGCCAGGCATCTATGGAGCTTGTTGTTAACTCAGGTGTAATATTTTAATGATTTTAAAAAGTATTTTTGTTTAGAACACCGTACTGTACATCTATGAACCTTAGGAGGTGAGTGGAAGCATGTTCAATCGTCCTGTCCACACAATATATGTACAGGTAGGCTTAAAAGTTTAAGGCATTTTATCCTTTATGTTACTAACAGACCACATCATCTGTATAGATTTTGTTTCAATAGTCTTACAGCCTTTTTACACACCTAAAATTCATCCTATCTAGAGATGATTAGAATCACTCAACAGTTTTAAACATGTTTATAGACAAAATTTCCCAGTGTGAACATCGTTTATACGATGTTGGGATAGATACGAAGTCGCGATCCATACGCCCCTAAAAGCAGGCTGCAGATACGAAGTTCATATCTAGAGAGCTTGACATTTTGTGTGTGAAAGGAAATTCGTGTTTAAACGTGTTTAAACTGGATGGAACGTGCGCTTTGATTGATATGACATGACCTTCAATGCGCAATGGCACTACTGCGCATTTTACGAGCAGTAGTTAATCACAAAACTATTAACGATCGCAACGAAATTTCTGTGTGTGAAAGGCTCGTGATTAGTTTAAACACGTTCGAAACACGTTTATACTAGTCATGTTTATAGAATTTTAGCTGTGTGTGAAAAGGCTGTTAGTAATGGACAGCCAGGCAATAGTAACCTTGTGGTACATGGAGTTATCAAAATTTATCTTCAACATGAGTACTACAGGTAGATTGAAATGGCCTACACGATGTAGCTCATTGATTACACTCATAGGTGTTCGTTTCATTAATCCATGCAAGCCTTCTATCTTCTTTCAAATAGCCAAAGTTCCATGCCAGTGGAGCGGGAAATCTATCTTTTCATATCACCCATGCCACCCTAGATCTAAGTCCAACTTAAGCCTATGTTGAGGACAAAGGCTTTAAAGAATCTCTCAATAGCCCTATTCACACAGCCAGTTACACTGCTGGAAAAACCCATAAGAAACCGTCAGTGTTTGATAATTCTGTTCTGTATTTTTGGTGAATTTTGGAGAAAAAAATTGGAAAATAATATAAATATAGATGTACCGGTATTAAATTTCACTTATAAAGTCAATAACCCTAGCTTCAGGCTTTATAATGTTCAAATTCAAACTAACATTCACAAAATTTCACATTCCAAATATATTCAAAATCTGGAAATACTGATTTTAAAAAAAACTAATACGAGTGTGGCATTGATAGATAACACTTTTGATCAGTTCATTCAATTGTCAAAAAAAGGGGGATGGTGCAATGGGTCCTGCACATACCACTGTACATATTAGTTTATTACATATGTACATATATCTGTAACTGGAAGGTTACGTACCACAACGGTCAGAAAATCTATACATGCTGGTCTGGTGCACAGACTGTCTGTGGCTAAGTCCACTTCAAGGCTATTGAGACTGGATTGTGCTATTCTTTCCTGGTCTCTACTCATCAATAAGTGTCAATCAATGTTCCATTCAACTGGGTCCACTGTTCTCATGTCAATCAATGAGGTTTACAAAGACTTAGAATTCCATGTGGTTAGTCTACTAACTAGGACTCACACCACACATGGTGGTAGACAATTTTATACCACATCCAATGACAATGTATGGTGGCAAAATATCATTAAATTCTCAAAAGTGTTCCTATATGTTAATATTTTATTCATAACTTTCTTTGCTTGTAAATGCAACTATCATTATCACTTCTTAGCTTCAGCCATGCTGGTTTTTTTTTCTCCAGTAACTGTATCCAAAGTTCCAAACGTGCCTTATCTTTAAAATAATTCTCATTCAAGTTCAATTTCTACAATGTATAAGGTAGATGCGCAGTTAACCAATCTCTGAATGGTAGCCAAGTTCGTAGTAAAATCATACAAAAGTCCAGCAAAGTCTAAATGACCTTGAATAAAATGCTGAGTTGGGGGATTGCCTAAACATTTCCTTTCCAACTTAAATTACTATTTATTAAATAACTTGTGTACAGCATTTGTTGGACTGCATACCTGGTGTATTCACTTTAATTCTACCTTTGGAAAGGCAAAGAGAATAATGAAACTTGTCAGTCTATAACAATGGAAAGTACTGATCTAAACTAGGAACTGTATTGGTAGACTAATCACCTGCTCAAGCCATAGAATCAGAAATTGATTTGAAGTTCTTTCATCCTCTTACAATAAAGCTTCTTTGGCCTTTGGAAACCAGCATGTACAAGTATATTCTCATACACATTCACTTACCCCTCTTCAAAACTTACTAACTGCACCGTGTCATTCAAAAAAATCGACATTAATAAATCCGCAATTATAAAATAATAACAAAATTACACTAAAATTCATTAGAAATCACAGATGAAACATCAATTATCTGTATCTTTTGACACCATTATAGAACAAACTGACCCTCAATTGTATTGCCTTTCATTCAAATATCCTTGTCACTACCCCAAAGGAATGACATTAACTTCACTTGTTCTTGTATGGTCAGGAATCAAATAGCCGTAACGTGTAGGCTACAGAAGTTAAACAGAACATAAATGAGCAACAGATTGAGTGGGAAAAGACTTGTTTGTGGGAAGAGAGAGAGAAATGAAGCTGATGAGAGAGCAAAAATCATTTGGTTCTCATATTACACCAATTTAACATTCCCATTTTACAATACCATGAAGATTTAGGTCAATGCTCCAGGAAACCTTGAGGGAAACAATGTCATTTGGGGCAGGACTACCCCCTTCCACTTCAAACTACACCCAAAATTACTTAGGAGCAAAAATCTCCACCCAGCGTACTTGAGCCCAACCAAGAGAAAGAAATAGCAGGGCTGAAGGGGAAATCACTCTTTACACCTCCCGATGTTAATGACTTCCGGCATTGAATGTCCTGCTTTAGGGTCTTCTCTTTTCTTTTTTCTGTAATTTCTCCCCCTTTACCATGACTCATGTGGTGCCCTCACTGCCATGCCAATACTCAAGCGTCTAATCAAAAGAATTGTTCATCATCAGTTGAAACCATCGTACATTCCCCTTACATGCCTAACATGAGCATCATCCTTACTAGCTTTAGGACAATGTAATTGAATGCAGGTGATCATAGTTGACTTGATTAGTGCTTAACATCATCATTTTTAAAGTTTATAATGCATGAAACAAAGCATATATGCATAGACTACAAAGCAGCATGTACAGTTACAATCAACATTCAACTAGTTATGTGGAAAAACATAAAGGACTAAAGGGCTTTACTCCTTTCACTCTTACACCACTTCATAAAAGAGTATGGACTAAATTGACACCATAACTGTCTTCTTCATTAATTATTCCTTTTAGAATTCCACTTATAATGCACACCCTGTATTCTATCAGAGTAGTATGGTCACTGTAACAAGCAGCCTGTGACTCTGTGAGTGACTACATTGCCAGTCCAAATCCCAAGCACGTTTTGGGATAGCAAACACTGGATGTGAAGGACAGACAAACAGATTCACAGTATTAACATCAGATGAGCATACACACTGCCCATCATTCATAGAATACAGTATGTGAGATTTAATGTGTGAAGAGTAGATGACATGAAAATCATTAGCTGGGACTAATCAGTGGATTATCATGGTGATTAATCAGTTGAGTTGTTTGCTCATTGCATTCATGTGGGGATGAACTATTAAGCTGTCAGTCTAAAGTCTAATTAATGACTGGACATCTACCAATATGGCTGCCACATCGTAACAGATACAAAAAACACCTTAGTCCTTTACTTGATTAAAAAGTCTTTGCATCCCATTTGTGATTAGTAATTAATAATACTCTTCAATCTTCAGTATGAATAATACATTTTGTCATTAATATGTTTGACTTCTAAATGAAGATTTTTTAATATTTGCAAAATGGAGTACCGTCATATCAAGAACAAAAATTGATGATGTGATGGACACTGCTTACTATTAGACCTTGAAAACGACTGCTACATTGTACCACCTACCCTGACGTTTTTAATAAAAACAAAAAATGATAGAAACAGAAAAGTAAGAGTTTCAGGAGAATCTTTTCAAGGATAAGACAGTTATCGAGATTTAAAATTGCAAACAACTAAACTCAAATGAGCAATTTTGTGATCAGATCACCTCTGCCAATTGTTAGTCTATTTTTTTACAAACTAATATATCTACGACTTCATTTCTATTCTCTTGTTTCATATTAAGACATGGATTTATTTCATAGATGCGATGAATAAAAAATGTAAATCTAGATCAAATATAACTTATTGTTTTCAAGAAAAGATTGTTTTGGAAATTCAAAGAGTAAATAGAACTAGTATACTTCCCTTTAAATGTTTTGGATTGTAAATTGAATAATCGTTATAAATGAATATGTTATTGACTTGCAGTATAGACCCACATAGGCTTTTATTAGATCCATGCAAGAGATACTGGTACATGTTTTGAAAACTAATAAAATTAAATTGTGTAAATACCAGTACATTGTTAAAAACATTCAATATGTTTATTGCACTTCTTATCATTCAGGAGCATGTGTAATAGAGCCATTGAATTTATCAATTTTCTGGACTTTGTTAAATGTAATGAAAGCACTTGTCTGTTTATTTTTCTCTCACACTCAACAAGCAGTTACAATCACTGGTGATGATATCAAAGTTCGAGTGGTGGATGTCTACATTAAGAGATTGATTTACAGACCAATCGCCTCCACATGCTGGTTAATGGTATAATGGTTCTACAACCACCCCAAGAGTTCCCCTCTCTATGGACATACATACCGTACTATAGCGATATATAACCATGCTCTCTCTAAATTGTCAAGCATTCACAAGAAGCTTGTTTGGTGGCCTTTATATTTAATACAACAGGTAGCAGATAACATTCTAAATCAGAAATTAAGCTACTAAATATAAATGTATTAAATGTCCCGCAATCAAAAGAGATTGGAATACCAGTATTTCATACCTCAGTCATAGAAGGCTCTATTCATTTTATCATGGCAAGCTGTCTCTGGTACTCCAACCACATTATTCACTGAAATATATTATTTTGTTCTATTTTTCTCTTTCATGAAACAAATTTGATTCATATCATTCATAAAACATGTGGATTTCATAGCATATCATGACCTAAAATTGCCAACTGTATTTTGCAGCTTTCACTGGTTGCTATGGGTGATACTAACAAACGTTAAGTGTGTAAAATTAAAGATCATTAAACCAATACTACGTTTGTAAGTATTTTTGGATTCCTTCAATTAAGAGCACCACATCTCATCCTACTTTCAGTTTCCCCTTGGATGCAAAATCCAATAAGATTATAATTACAAATGCCATTGATCATTAAGGGCATCAGTCCAACGCCAATAATAAATCAGCAATGGAAAAAAATGGTTGTCTATCATTCAATTTGCCTGTTCATTTAATTCGAGGGAAGCTGTGACGGCCAATTTAATAAGTGGCCCAATTGGTGTATTCCCTTCGGACATGTTACACTGAGAATAACTGACAAAACAAAAAATGTAAGCAACAGTCTGCAATGTCAGTATATTACAGAGCTTTCATACTGACATATGAAAATTAAAAATGTTTTGGAGTCATAAGTAGTTCCATTTCATTTCAATCATATTTTGGACCAAATCACCAATACTGTTTTTGCTCAGTTTTTTGTGATTCATCCCATTATCCAATACTTTACATTCTGTAAAGAAATCGCCCAAGCTTAAAGGAGAATTTCTAAGTGGTAAAGGTTTTAATGATTTTTAATGATGCGGTGTCACTCAAATTAATTTGATCCAACACATAAAATTACTAAAATAATTTTAAAAATTTCAAAAATATGACTGAGTATGGTTCTGTTTGATATCCATTTCCACTTTGCCAATAGTAATGTTTTATAAAACATCAATTGAAGACAGTCTAGAAATTAAAAATATGAAAATGCCAGTAGTTTTCCCGCCAATAGTGTATTTTTATGAAGGTGACAATGGAGTGAATGAACGTATTTTTTATCTTTTGATTTATTATCTCTGTATTGAGAGATGACCTACAAGTGTGAATGCATATGAGTGATTCATTAACCAGTGTCCTCATAACAATATGGCCTACCTACACTGTAATTGAGTGACCATGATTCTAATGAGAACTAGCTATTTATTCCCTTTTGAGTTTTGATAGACATCAATGGAATGCCTATGACCATGGCCCTCAAATCAATTTTCAGTTACCTTTCAAACAAAAGAGAATAATTTATTCTCATCTTCATATTATATTTTAAGATACACGTTTGATTTTGAATCATTATCATACTTTTAAAAATTGATATAACTATAAAGATGTAAAGCAAGCAAAGGTTGCTAGCAAATATTGCCCTACAAAAAACACAGAATGGAATAAGTACTGTATATACTATCTTTTCCTATGTGAGAAATTGTATGCTCTTAACACTATCTTACCACTTTATCCATCCATCTATATAGCAAGTGACTATGAACCCATTTCATCTTTCCTCCCACTAATGCAAGGATCATCTCTAGTAGTGTGGAAGAGCCGAAGAGGACAAGAAATTTCCATGGCAACGTAATCATCTAAAGTCAAATATACTTTCTACATGAATAGTGGACATGGTAATGTTTGTTACTTGACACAGAGGTAGAAGCCCAGTACACTTTCTGAGGCAAACCAGGTCGCACACATCTCAACCTCCCAAATAGGGGCAGATGTGATCATGTTTACACTTTGTATCTTTCCTGATGTATTTTGTTGTTTCACTGTTTCCCAACAAATGTTTCTAGTCCAAAAGCATACACCTAACGTAACCATGGGTATACATTAGTGCATTACTACATTAAATAAATGTTCAAGTTCATGAAGTTCATACATTTGTAAAACATGTGGTCTCTACTAGCTGACTGTGCTATCCCACTGAGAATACCAAGAGGGACTAATTAGTCATTTATTTTTGTACCATACCAAGGACAAACCAGTAATTAAAACCACCCACCCCATACTCTCCCAGCATTTGGTTATATTCTGTTGTTACCACTGCATGTGTTTCCTGTAGGGTCTATATAATCTTTTTTTTAACTTGGTTGGAAGGTCATGACATCTAGACCAAAACATGTGTTCCTTCAAAAATGCAGACTGTATTTTACAGTATTCTGTGTTTCCATAGAGTGGGAAAATTGTAACCACAGGACATGTGCCAGTTTTGAAGGGTAAAATTTAACACTTGCCTCAAGAAATGGACACTAGGCATATGGTATCTCCTTGCTCCTTGCACCTTGCAGCATGGACAAAGCCCATTCAGACCAAAGGTCCTGACCCCAAATACATTTCATGTTGTACTTATGCCAATTAAAAATTAGAAGGAAATAAACCCTTGTCTAAATGTGTATGACTATGGGCGCGTTTATCTAGGCTTGCCACTAGATATGTACATATCGTACCCCACTATCGAACCCCACTATCGAACCCCACTATACGATCGTGATTTGCGGGATGTCGCGTTTATCTACACTTCACGATTCACAATAAAGGCCTTGTCTCTTCGCAGCTGCTCAGCTCCGTTTGACCCGGGAAGCAGACAGTTTCTCGGAGGTCAACTTCACACGTTTGCTTGTACACAACACCTGTGTGGTCCTATTTGTATGTGAGGTACAAAACAGCTTTGCGTTTATCGATCTCTCAGAAACGTGATTCTGGCTGTATGTCACATACAAAACGCACCTTTTTGCGTCTTTTGATATGCCCATATCTAAAGACGTTTGAAAAAGGCTTTGCGTTTATCTACTTCTAAATTTGCCTGAAAGACGTTTGAGAAACCTGATTCTAGCCAAAAATTTGCTAGATAAACGCAACCTATGAAGACCAACCCCCTTCTAGAAAGCTACATAACCTCTCCTTAACATTTAGCAATATCCCCCCAAAATAACACATCTCATGAACATAGTTGCAGGAGTGCAGCTGAAATTGAATTCTTCATTCTCAATCTGGATTTTTTAATCCAAGATGTATTTTTTCACAACTCAGACAATAGCTGTGAAGCCCCCTGGGCTCCTCCATACAGAAATGTGTGATAAGAGGGGCTTTTCTCACTCCTTCCTCTTTTGTTGCTACAAATACCTAATGTGACAGAACTCCTGCATCATCATCTGGCATGAAAAGTTTTTGACAGCTAATGAAGTAAGACTGAGAGGTGAGTTCTATTTCTTCAACTATGCATCTTAAGAGCCACCTTATTCTAACTTTCTAAGAGTCTATAAAACCCAGATCTTCTCCCACATTCTGTATTGTAAAAAAACTCTATTCAAAACTTCTAAAAAGAAATAATAGGCCCTATGAGTGGTCTATTCATACACTTCTCGTAAAACCCTTTGTCAAAGAGATTTGGGAGTACAGTCTATCCCTTCTTTCAGGAGGAAAAGAATAAAGGGAGGAGGGTAGGTAGGCTAGCCCTCCTCTGGCCAACAATAGACACCTCATCATTTCAATAATGGGGTAATGATGAGGAATGGTGAAAGGGTGTAAAGATTGCCCCTCTTGCCTAATTACTATCCCTCAATAGGTGCTATTCATGGTGGTGGTCTTTCATGGAATGCTGAAGAGGACTGGCTTGAAAGGAAGGGGCTGGATTGGGGTGCGCTTTTGCACCTTTCTTCCAGTACCATACATACATCAAAAAGTTTTATTCATTGTAATGATTGAGAGAATGGAGAAAGGAAAAAGTTTCTCATCTGATTTAGGATGGAGCTGTGAATGATAACTTCCACTTAGAAATGCCCAGAAATAAACACTTCAGGCACACCTCTGACCAACAAATAACACTCGGCAAACATACATTCCTCATAGTAGGCTACAATGCCACATACAGTATTGTTAGATTGATATTCATATTGCAAATCTATAAAGAATGGTAAGATATTTTTTAACTATAGACAAACCATCATGTCCGGTTCCTAAAAGCCTATTCCCTTGAAAACTATTACTGTATAATAAGTCATGTTTCAAATCATCATCTCATTGGTGTAACTAAAATTGTTACATAATTTGTGTAAATCAATTAATGTTGAAGATTCAAGATAGTATTATAAACAACAATCAAATCCTCCAAAAATTTGCAAATCCAACTATATATCAAATGGGTAATGTCATGTGAATTATGACAAGATGCTATCAAAATAACTATACCCACAGAAATAAAATAATTATTTGGTCAAATGTGTTCGCGGCCTTCCATGGAAGAAGGAAAAATCGTTAATTAGAAGAACTACCGGTATCAGAACGAATTTAAAGGTAATATTACTTTACTGGCAGAGGATGACATAAATATTCACAAAACTTCAACTTTTGGCTCTTAGAAACAAAGGTCAGACTCATTTTGAGTGGGAACAAAAGATCTCCCTATACCACAGTCCTGCACAAGAACAATGAGGAGATATGTGCATAATGACTCTAGGAACACTGTGGGTGGGGCATCTCAAACAATCATAATCCACAAATCAAAGACAAGTATGAAAACATCTACACAAAGAATAATACCATCTACTTGAGCAAACATTTGATCACTTAATGGGACAGAAGGAATATACAAAGTAGGCAAACAAAAGAATGAGACAATTCTAGTCTTGTGTCCAGGTTTCGAAGAAGACTTCTCCGGAATATGGACCTGTAAAATCAACTTGGGCACACCTGTAACTACATTTAAGAGGATTGACAGTTGATGACAGTTCCCCAATGCCCATATTTTAAATTAATTTAATTAATAATACTACTGTAAGTATCGTCTTTTGTTCTACTTGCAAGGTTACAAATCAAGCAAGCACTAATGTAAAATAAAAAACTTAACTGATGGGAAAATAGGCCCCAAATCCTGAATCTAGACTAGGCATGGTATATTTCTAGGCTAGATAATCAGGTTTGGATGGGGATAACTGGATAAACTTGGGGTGGCCCTTGTTTATGCTGAAAACAGAACAGGGCTGCCTTGGACCAACAATCACATGCCTGAGTCAACATAGGTAATTGTAAGCCCAATACAAATGGTATAGAGCAAGAGGACTTCTCACAATGCATCCACATCAAATGTGGACCTCCAATTTCATCTGTCAGACTTTAAAGTTGAACTTGAAAACGAAAATGTCTTTGATGCAAGATGAACTTTGACAGGGATGCCAATAGCACACAGGTCCACTGTTAACAGCCACGTTGTATTCAAAGAAAATTTCCAATGCAACTGTGCTAGAATAATTCTCATATACTTAACCAGGCTTACAGTTCATGGTGTAGACACTCAAGTTAGATGTTGATGCTATTCTTACACATCTTTATATAAAGGATATAATTTAAAAACAGAGGGTATCTTGTATAATTGAATTACATGTTAGCCCAAATTCAAAAGCCTGTTTCTGAAGCAAAAAGGTAACATATTTGTGTTTGGTGTTTTTCTTTCTTTATTCTTTCTTTTTTAGCATAATTATTGTCACATTCACAGTTTTTACAGAAAATATGTATGGTGATAGCTATCTTCTCCTCTTCTACCTTCAAATGACTGCAATAACCAAAATTCAAAATCCCAGTAATGTTCCAATAATGTTTCAATAATATATCACACATTCTCTGAAATGTATAGCTCCTTATCAATCATTACTGAATAGTTTTCCATTTTAATATCACAAATTTTCTTTTCTTTGAAGCCATCCTCACAAGTACTTTCAAGGCCTGCGTTATACTTTCATAACATAAAATTGCCACATTTACACATCGTCATCACAGCTTACTCTGTAAAGAGAGTTTGGACCTGATAATGATAAACTGTTCTTCTGAACTGTTGTTAGTCGCTGCCAGACATCACGGCAGAAAGTCATATAACAAAGTTGATGACAGGGGCTGGAATCAGCAAACAGAAAGAAGTATATATCTTGGCTGGGTTTCTACCATCTGATAAACACAAAGCATTCCTTTGCTTTCATTTTCCAGACTTCAGGACAAGTCAGGCAGCTATATAAGCAAAGTCTGTGCCTACAATGATCTCAACTCAACCATTATCACTAACAAAAATCCTATGAAATCATAAAGTTAAACTTTTTCTTCTTCTTTTCTATTCCTTCTTTTTTTCTCCTTGTTGTTGTTGTTCTTCTTCTTATTATTATTAGTTTTATTTTTATATCTAGTATTTTCCTTAGGTAGCTTAGCAAAATGCAGTGGCACGCAAAGATGCTCCCCGAAACGCAAAATGCATAATTGTTGAAAATCATTCTTTTATCACACAGAGGTGGAACCACATCGTTAGGATATATGGAGCTGGTAAATCCATGTACTCCATTCAGATATGTCAAAACAGAACTTTTAATTAGTGTCAAACATCTCTGACTTTTGTGCCTTTTGCGTTCCGGACACATCTTTCTGTACCAGTACATTTTGCTAAGCTACCTCATACAAGCACTTACAGAAATATAACAATTAAATTGTTACAGTTTAGGTAATTGGAGTTCAACATGCATTTTCATACATTTTTTTCATTAGCATATATATAACTAAGCAGTTATACATGTATTCATGTGGTAAACAAAAATATATAGATGTATGTGCTAACTAGCCATCAATGGCACTTCTTTAAACTGGTCTAAAAATCGTTTTAACTTTTATATATTCTTTTTAATAATACTATTAACCATCAACTATTTCAACCATCTTAACCAAAGTCCAAAGTAAACTTCAGCTCACTAATGAGTAATGAGCATATCAAATGGTCCAATTTTCATAAATGATTCTTCAGTAACAAACCCCTGCTAAAAATAAATTTGAAACATTTCTTTACATAAAATGGAATGGAAGCAACAACAAATCATGACAAAAAGGGCCATTTATCAATTTACTCAGTGAAAGAAACTTTACTGGGTAAAAAATTGCTATCCATTAATCATCTGCAGCATTGTTTTCTTTACCAATATCAAGCATTTTTCTCTATATATCTTATGTCCCACAATTTCAAAGCTCAAATCATATTACTTTATGAAAAAATCAGAAACCTCTATCAGAGATTAATGAGCTATGACGCCAATTTTCATGCTAAATTGACTTTCTATTGTGTGAGAACTGGTTAATGTTTTGTTTTGTTGTTTGTTCTAAAAAGATTGCAAGTATCAATAAATCATTCTTTCTTCACAAATAAAAAAAGACATTTGATTTTAAAGGGGAAAAGATTGTTGACTGCTTTATTACAATAGTGTTGTACTATGCGTTTTTGCAACATTTAACACAATTTTCATTAAATCCTCAACAGTATATGAGAAGCCGAAATGATTGGTCTTGCGCACTATAACAAAACAATTTTTTGTTTTTTTTGTTTTTTTGTTACTTCAATGTTTATGAATCAAAGTGCTTATCATATTACCCTTTAGATGTTTCCAAAGACCAAGCCAAACTATAATAAACATTTAATATTTATCAAAGCAACATAGTAAACGTCATATTTCATGTATTATGGTACAGTACAATGAACTATTGCTATAGGTTGTAAGCCTATCAAAATTAGAAGTATGGTCTCCATTCCATTAGTTAGACATACATGTATATTAATATCTAGACTATTAATAATTCACCATGTACCTTATTAAAATGACTTGCAAACAGGTTTGACAAGATACTAGAAAGGGATAAAATACATATACATGTATAAATGTAGATCCAAGTATAGGTATCGGTTGGGAAGTGTTCTAAATAATAAATACAACATCTATAAAGAAGTAGGATAATTGGTAATTGGATCTAACTTACCTCGAAGTTCTGCGGAGGCTACTCGAAGAAAAACACCAAGCCAGAGAATAAGGAGAGAGTTTAGAGCAGACGAAACCCGAGCCATTCTATCGGCGGATCGCTACAGGACAACACGCGGCAAACCTACGGGCAAAAGATATCGAAGCAGACCGGTTAGTTGACACAAACAGCCACTCGCTAACGAGAAACAGTTTACAAAATATCCCCATAGAAATTGGCGATTCATCAATATGTTTAATAGCATACCGTGTTATCCCAGACATCCAGAGCTAAATTCTATTTCAGAGTGTCTCATGAGGTATATGAAAACAATTTTTATGATTCAAAATGAAAAATGTTCAGTTTTCTTCGGAGTAGCAGACGAGATTATACGACAGCTATCTACCAACTCTCAGCGGGCGCCTGTGTGTGAATTGTGCGCTGCGCTGTATAGCATCGAACATGTGATGCAGGCACACACATCATCACTTCGGTCACACACACAGCGCAACTAGTCACCCATACACCACCACCACCAACACAGACCTTTCAAAGTCCTGAAACAAAGTTATCACTCTGTGTATACAATGACCTTCCAAAAGTATGGAATAAACCAATTAACAAACATCACAGAGATAACCTATTCTTGATAAGGCGCTTAAAAGTTAATTTTTACATTAATTCAGTTAAGCAATCTACCTACACGCGACCAATCTGATCAAGAAATAGAGCAAGTTGTTGGCAATATTCGCAACAAAATGAAATCGCAATTGTGAACATTTCAGGCCCTTATTGTACAGTAAAATCTCCAGACCACTCAACGAAGACAAGAAATGCTGTCTTTACAAGAAGGTGGTCTTCATACACAGGTTGCTTCAGTACATGTTTGAATAGGTAATACTTCTCCAGGAAAACAAAATATGTGATCTTCATGTCATGAACAGGTGCATAATAATTATGTCTAGCGACAACTTGTATACAATTCGTCACTGTTTTCACGAAGTGACGGTAGTGAAAAATAATTGCATTCACTTTGCGTTACGATTTTCCTCACTACCGTCACTTCGTGAAAACAAGGACGAATTATTGTATAAAAGTTGTCGAAGTCACGTTGTTTGAAGTCACGTTACTACTAACGAGAAAACTAAGATACCTAACTTGGAATACTGACACAAAATGTCCAAAACATGATCACAAATAAAGTCGTGTGGGCCCTCTATAAAGGCCCTCTATGCCGAGATTGCTACCATACATAGCTCTTCATCTGAACTAAAAATTGCGTTGATTTAACTTATTAAATTTTGTGTTATTATGAGGAGTATCATTATAAGTATATGTAATGTCCGTTTCGAGGCAAGGGCCAATCAGATTCATTGAAATACATAAAGGGCGGAGAAACTGATTCAGTAAACACTTTGATTTATACCATAGCAATTAGCAAAAGTACCTCGAAGGCTCTATCCTCATTCTATACTTGTATAGTTTGATCGGCTTGGTAAAAGAAATAAATACAAATTTCGTTTCTTTATTTTCTTCACAATTTGCATCCCCTCCCCCCTCACTCTCTCTCTCTCTCTCTCTCTCTCTCCTCTCTATGGAACCGTGGCAAAAAAAAAATCATAATGCCTACCTACTAGTATAAGTACTTGTTTTTCTTTCTTTCTTGAAAGCGATCTCCACTCTTATGAATTCTAAATTTGCTGGAATCGAAGCTAACATTGGAATAAGGCCATTTACAAAAATATACATGTTTAGCGTCCCCGCCCGCTTCCTTTTTGGGGGCCGCCTCTTTTTTTTCTCTTTTTTTTTTCTTTTTAAAGAAAAAAAACATTAAAAAGTGCTAAAATGGATCTATTTCTGATTTGAAAAAAAATATATAAAAAATTCGGCGGCCATCTTGAAAAATAGCCCGACTGTCAGGGAAAATGTACCGAGAGGCCATTTTGAGCGGCCATTTAAAAAAAAAAAAAAGGGCCTCCTCCTTCCTATTTTTCGAAAAAAAACAGGACGCTATTTGTTTGTTTTTTTATTTGGCCTAAGTTCGTTGGAAGTTTGAGACGAATCGTAGACCTATAAACTTTTAAAAGTTAAAATACAGTTGTTCAATGATAATCTTCGAATAACTTTAGTCGCGGCGGCCAAAATGAAGGGGGAATTAAGTTCTCCGACAAGCAATAAAATAAAATTTCGTTTGTGACTGCAGTATTTTCACTAAAAAACTATAAATACTTTTTCTTCTTCAAATTTTTTATCTTTCTGTATACACCATCCCCTCTTCCATTTCTCTCTCTCTCTCTCTCTCTCTTTCTCTTTCTCTCTCTCTCTATACGCAAATTCCTTCGCATTGTGTCGCAGTTTTTTTGAAGTACCTTTAGTGCTTTGAGTTTGTATTGGTCTTATTTTATTGGGCGCATTTAAGTTGTGCTTGTATTGTGTGTAGAACCCATCTATCAGCGTCACAACCAGTCACACAATGCGCTCTCATTACCTCGGGGCGGAGTCGAATCATATGACTTTGTTGCCCCCCCCCCCCCCCACCCTTTACCCTCAACCCGACCCCTGGTCCCTCCGCACATAATAGCAATGGTTATAAGCTACGGGTTGGTATAGTATCTGGTCCGTACAAGTAGAACCCAGACTGAATCCTGGTCGCATACATTTCCATCTTGATGGATCACTATCTCACAATATTCAATGCAAAACAGAACAAATTAATTACAAATTAAAACGCCACGCGCTACTTCGTCCCCAATTGTCATCCGCATGCCGCATTTACATAACGTTCTCTCAATCATTATTTCCATGTCAACTATGTGTTAAATGATAATGATTATTTTATTTATTTAATCGTAATAATATGCAAATTTCTCAATACTAAATTTCATTGGTACTGGGTTCGGCAATCCCTTTGGCAGCTCACTCTGGAAACTTCTCTTCCACTTCCTCGACCCCATCTCTCCCCATCCCTCCACCCTTTCCATCGTTTCTTGTTACCCCTCCCCCCCCCCCCCATCCTCCCTCTCTCTCTCTCTCTCTCTCTCTCTCTCTCTCTCTGTACCCCTCTCCACCTCTGTTCCTCCATCCGCCTGTGAAGTCTCGGGGAACATGGGGGAAAATAAAAAGACTACTGCTCTAAACACGACCGGAGCGAACAATCACACAAACTGTGGCAAGAATAACATACGGACAGTTCCGACGCTGTGGGTGAAGTGCTAAAGATTACTTCTGCGTCACTGCATCCCTCTATCTGAAATTTCTTTTCTTTCTTTTTTTCTCCTTTTTTAGCCTCCGCTTCCTAATTCAATATTTCCTCAGAATCTTCATTCAACCTCATTTTTAAAGGAAGTACATTATTTGATTGGCACAATTTCCTCATTGTC